GGGGAAGCTGAATTTAAATTTGCGGGGTCACACGTGGGTGGAGAACGTTCCCCTAAATTTTCAGCTCCCAAGCTTTTGTGGTTCCCGAGTTGAAAGTTGCGGACAATTTGTTGCGGGCACACACACACAAACACGCACACAGCCAACCCCGTGACAATATGCGTTTTGTACTGCTGTTACGCAGCACGAGGGTAGCAAAATGCATGATCGCACTCACCATGCGTTTTGTGCAATTCCGTCCAGCGAACATTTGCCTCTGAAGGTATGCATTGTTCCGTGCTTTGGTCTGTGCAAAAATAGTTGATATGTTTTCTGATTCCTAAGTTGCAAAATTTCCCACTAAAAATTTCATTTACCGATATGTGAGACGTAAGCTCAATGGAAGCTGAATTTTAAACCTTAGGCGGTGAACATAAAAATTTCAATCTCCTAATTTTCTTGCTTTCGAGTGACTTTCTCGTCAAAAATTTCACGTGGCCGTACAAGAGACCTTGGCGCACTTAGGAACCAAATTTAAGCTTGCGAAGCTCCTGCATAGGTAGAAAATTTCCTCCTGGAAATTTCAACCTTCTGGCTTTTGTAGTTTCCGAAATAGTAGTTTCCTCGCCAAAATTTTTACGGAGCGTGCATGATACCTGAATGCGCGGGAAAGCCGAATTTAAATATGCGGGGTCATATGTGGGTGGGAGGAACATTATTTAAATTTCAGCTTCCTAGAGTAAATGTGGGACGCGCCCGGTGAGGTCCTGATCTTGGCGTGGCCTAGTGGAGTTCACAAGCCGAAGTATTATTGAAGTTTTTTTATGATACATAACTGCCATTTAATTATAAAAGGAGGAAAGAGGGGTGCGGGGCATTATACGCAGTCAGCAGTTAGCTCATTAATAAAGAGGAAATGACTTGTCTGAGAAACACTGAGTTTGCCGGGGGACCCGTTTAAGTTTTAGTCGATAAGTTGTCCTGAAAGCCCAGAGCCAGTGCCGTCGAGGGCACGAGAATAAGATGACGAGGAGAACCGCATGCCAATAGCGAAAAGAAGAACCCGAAGTCGAAGATGAGGTGGCGCCGAAGATCCAGAAGATGTGGCTCTCGCCCCCGAAGAGACTGGTGCTCCGCTGGTGTGGGAAAGAGGTTCCTCCCTACTCGTCAGGGAAGCTGATGGCTCCACTACTACGAACACTTTTGTGCTGGCTGTGATATGGGCATCCAAAGTGCAGGGAGTAAACCTTTCCGGTAGCGGAGGTATTTCCAGATTTCCCAAACTGCGCACCGGGGCAGCTGGCACAAGGCTCCGATTGGACATGTGTAATGGCAGCTTTTGATCCATCATTGTGAACCAATCATTTTTTATATCTATTCTGAAAGGCGGAAGCAGTTTCAGTACATTGCAGCCAACGATCACCTCATAGCTCTTTCCTCCAGGTTTGAGGGCTGAATTGTCTGTGAAGTACATTTCTGTTACTACTGACACACTCCCTATGGCGACTTCCACTCGAGCATGTCCTGTTACAGCCAACGGATGTCCCGATACGCTGATTGCTCTCGATTCTTGAGGTATAAAACGCATACCAACGGGTTCAGTGATTGCCTCTGAAGCTATTGTGCGTGCTGAACGGGTGTCAATAAAAAATTCAAGTAAACGAAATTTGTGCTACCCCGATTGTAGCAAGAGTTGTGTGTTCACCCGTTCCAACCGCACGTACAGTGTTTCCTTTCTGGTGAACTGTTGGCGAGTTCAACTATGGAATCTCTAACTTTTCCTCGAGTTTTGTCTTAACCTCTTGAAGGAGATTCGAGGGTGGCCCCT